CTTTCATGGTAGGCCAGTAATATCCTGCGCGGGCGAGGCATCTGACAAGAACACGGTTTCCCGTATGGGCGCCACAGTGCCCCTCGCGTGCTTTTTCTACAAATGTGTTACGATACGGTTGCGCCAGTCCCAAGTTTAGGTTTATAGAATGTACCTCGACCTTGTCCATCGAGGAATGGAGAAGGGTGGCCACGTTTTCCTTGATATTTCTGGTAGCTGCCGCTAGCTTGGCGAGACTATCCGCTGCGATATTCTGCGCCCTGGGTATCCGATCGAGGTGGCATTCGTCGAATTCTGGTAGCAGTTTGTGGATTTCTGACTAATACTTTTGTAGTCCCCGTTTTTTGATTTGGAGAGTCCCAATGACTTGATTTGTTACGAGTTGAAAGTCGCAATGGAGGGCGAGTCATCGAGTGCCATGTTAAAGGGCTAATTTCAACCCTGCAACCACAGCTTCGTGCTTGGCCTTGCCGTTAGTCATCTCGGGGTACCGTGTGGATTGGTGACTCGCTCCGCCCGTAGGGACTTCAGGGACGAGTCCCAGTCGGTTTAATTTCACTTGCGTCGGTGAGCGTGATACCGGAAGGCAGGAAACGCTGCTATTTAGCTCGCACTCGTTTTATACACATATTGGAGTTTTCCCGTCTAACCTTTTCATTCCCCGATTTTGAGATGTCATTGGTGGGTGGGACGATGAATTATGCTTTGACCTCAGGGGGGTTCCTCCCCGTTGGCCTGATGTTTAAATCCTCAAGAAGGCTTTCTTGGGACACCTTTCGTTCGAAGGGTATTACTTCCGAGGCGTCGGGTTTGTTTGGTGGACGATACTTTGGTGGTTCTGTAATAATTACCTATTCTTCAGTTGGGATGTTTCCTTGCTTGCTCTCCCGTGCTGCGCTTACGTTCTTGTTTTGGCAATCAGCAGAAGGGGGGTTAGGATGATATCCTCCTTATCCCGATCTGATGAGTTGGCGAACGAAGGTGGATCGGTGGCGTTACTTGCTCTTCTTGACGCCCTGATAGTTGACGATGATGGTGTTTTCTGAGTTTGGTAACCGTATTCGGTTCTCTTTCCCTTCCTTTTTGTGCCTTGATTTAGTGCGGGCCAGGCTTGTTTTGACTGGTTCATGGGCTGCCCGGGGTGCGGGGGATGATGTTTGTTGCAACTTTTGTTTGTATATAGCACCATGATCTAGGCTGGTGTGTGAGATTCGCTTACCGTTCTTCTCGATGGGTGATCGTGTTTCCGATTTTCGATCTGGAGGAGACTAGGACATTTTCACTAAGAAATCCACAGATGGCGCCAAATTGTTTGATTCAAAAGATATTGGAACCTTTTTGAACAAATCAATCAAAGAGAATGAAGAGGTAAATCTTAGTCAAGACTAATAACCTCCAGATCTATAAACGAATCGGAAAATAATGCATAAAATGGAATAGGGGTAATCGATCTCATTGATGTTTTCCATTTCTTCATTCATTTAATCGATGAAGATCACTGCTTTTGTCTTACATGGGAAGACTCCTTTTTCTAAGAAGATTACAGAGGAGAAACAAGAGAGAGAAAAAGTCCCCTTTTCTTGAGAGACTCCTCCCCTATATATAGTCATGGAATTCTCACTATGGATCAATACAAATTCGCACGACGTCCGCTTTCGTCGTTCCCTGAGTGTCGTTCTTCGTCACGGCGGGCATTATGAGTGCGGGGTTTTGGAGCAAACCATGTCGTCCTTCACTATCTCGTTGCTTGGACGAGATCTTGGTCAGGCCGACTGCAGCGATCAGATTTTGACCAATACACTAATCCCTCTCCTTCTTCTCTCTCCTTTTCCATCTAGGTTCTGTTTGGTGTGATCGAACTCATCCAAGTAATTTCGGGAATTTTTTTTTATGAGAAAGACATCTTCTGGTATTTAGTTGACAGAATTAAATGGGAAAAAAAAATAATTACCCTTATAATTATCTTCACTTTAAACTTTGTATTATTTATTTCAACTAACACTTTAGATACCATTATTTATTTTTAGTACTCAAAATAATTATCAAAACACGCTCCAATTAGCTCATTTTATTATTAATTTTTACATATATTTCATTCGAAAATTATTTTTCATTCACCAATTAAACGATAGAAAATATTTTGGTGTGCCACAGTACGGGAGAATTTGTATAAATCAGGGTGGATTGAGTTATTAATATTAAATCAAAGGATGTGGTGCATTGGATGAGACTGTTTTTTCCTTAATCAGAGGTCTCGGGTTTGAGTCCTGAGTTTGAAAAAATCCTTAGTAGGGACCGTCCTCCCCCCCCGAATAGGCCCTACGCGACGCAAATCTGAATATAATCGGACTCCGATACTAATACCGAATACCACGTGGAAACCAAAAATATTGAAAAACTGCTTTACATGAGTGACGAGTCCATATCCTGAATTGTCTACTCTTATTAGGTTACCCCTACGCATCTGCTAGATATTGTGGATGATGATTCATTCGTTTTTTCATCTTTTTATCTTTTTTTCTTTGGTTGTATTAATTGACTTAAAAAAAGATGGCAGACGTGGAGTCCATTGGAACGTCCTTCCAAGGAAAGAGCAAAATCTAGTGTTGCTCGAAATATTATTGATTTGAACATGCGGTCCTGCGGGTTCAACATACAAATACAAAAAAATAAATATATAAAAGCGTCAACAAAATAAATTATTAAAATGATGCAGAGAACAGAGGGGAAAAAGTGCTGTATATAGGGGGAAAAATACCATGTGTAGCTGACCGGGTTCGAACTCTGGACATCCTAAAAAACTTGAATCCACTGTGCTAGCGTGCTGGACAATGCCTTTGTGCTAAGCAGGGTCAACAAACAATATATATCTGCATTTTCTTGAAGAAAGGTAAAATATACTGTTGGGCTAAAGTAGCCAAATACACTCTTAACATGATGTGATATTGTCCGCTTTGGGCCAAGCCCGCACGGTTTTTCCCAAAAGGCCTCACACCATTAAGAGATCGCTACACCTTTTATGTAGACTCCCAATCTTTTCAGCTACCAATGCGGGACTTTGTTCGCGTACCCAACAATCTCCCCCTCGAACTAAGTTCCACGTGGCTCAATTCACGGGTCTCCCCCTCAAACTAAGTTCCATGTGACCATTGCCACATTCACGGGTCAATTTCCGAGATTCACGGTGTGCCACCCACATTGTTAGAGTATTACGGCAGCCGAAGCTCGCAACTAGCTTCTTCTTGTGTGCCACCATCCTGCACCATCACTCCGCCATCTCCATACTCGTTCCGTTGAACCTGGGCTCTGATGCCAGTTGTTGGGTTAAAGTAGCCCAAATACACTCTTAATATGGTGTGATATTGTCCGCTTTGGGCCAAGCCCGCACGGTTTTTCCCAAAACGCCTCACACCATTAAGAGATCCCTACACCTTTTATGTAGACTGCCAATTTTTTCAGCTACCAATGCGGGACTTTATTCGCACACCCAACATATACCTATATATGCAGTGTTATTTTTCGACGAAACGGGCATATGAACCCTTTTGACCCCACGTGGGTCCGCCCCTGGGTCCTTTGACTAATTATAGTAGGCAAAGTGTATTATATTGCATCTATACTTTAAATTAAAATAGTTGCTTGTGATATATTCTTTCATTAGCCATAGATCAAATTATAAGTGGACCTTAACCAATGACCTCTTTTAGTTGTGTCATTACTTGTTGTCCAACTAGATCAGTAATGGAGAGGACGGCTAAAATGGATAGATCTTTTTTTATTTAAGTTCTCTAATTGGTTTATTTAGAAAAACATCTTTTTATTTAAATTTAGAACAACATAATCAAAAGGAGCATAGCAAATAAAATCTACTTTGGGGTAATTCACTCGCTTAAAGTTAAATCAATAATTGGTCTCTAGATCGTGAGTTTTACTTAATTAAAGCTTTTACTTCCTCTCAAAAATGGAACTTTTTCTCTATCCAAAGCTAGCTTTCTTCTCAATCAGGGGAACAACTTAGGACCCGTTTGTCCAAAAAATTATTTTTTTTCGATTTTTTTAATAAAAAAAAATATGTTTGTCTATGAAATTTTACAATTTTTTGAAAATGAATTTTTCAAAAACCAATAGGTGATTTTGGCCACTTTTTCAAAATTAAAAAAAAAAAAAATTTTTTTTTCCCACTTATAAAATTGCAACATTTTTTCAAGTAAAATGTATGTCCAAACATAATTTCAAATTTCAAATACAATTTTTCAACTTAATTATAACTACTATTTTTTTTTCCAAAAATTACAATTTGTATGTCATCTACTTAGTATCTCAGGAACATGGTAATCTAGATTATAACTTTCACAACGTCTGCCACTATTCGTTGGACTAGCTTAAATTTACTGTTCTTTTAATGTTTAATAATGTTAAGATTCTACTGATCAACAACAAAAAGTAAAAGTGTAAAATCAGTAGTTTTGGAGTAAGTACTTTATGTACATACAACTTATACACACTCGGATGCTAATCTCAATCTGCTCTTTGAGTGTTGGACGAGGTTTCTTTTTATGTTTTTGCGACAAGTGGGATCAGCTTATTTGCCAACTTAAATAATGAAGATATATCGTTGTCCACTATACGATAGTGGGATATATATATCATATCCATATTTAATCTCATGGAGACATGTTCTTGCTTTCATGTAACTAAAGGCTTACTTCCATGCACACAATTACACTTGCACACAATTACACTGAGAATGCTACTCACTAAGAAATATTTTTGTCCTTTTACTTTAAGGTAAGGAGCCTTGGAGTGATCGTAAAATTACTATGAGTTATAGGTTACGGGTTCGAGCGACAGAATTAACCATTAATGTTTTATTATAGTAAGCTGCCTACCTACATGTCATGGGTTCGAGCCGTGGAATCAGCCATTAATGCTTCATTATAGTAAGCTGCCTACATCACACACCTTGGGGGTGCAGCCCTTCCCCGAACCCTGCGTGAATACAGGATGCTTCGTGCGCCGGGCTGACCACTTTAACAGTTGAAGGTGCACCGGGCTGTGGTTTCTTTTTTAAAGGGGTCAATAGTTGCTGTCATGTCATTTCTCATGTCGCCACGCCACCTTGAATATTTCCCGTCCTTTAACTCCTAATCATACCAAAAAGATAGTTCAGTAATGGAATTCACTTTTGATCCTGAGTATTGATGGTGGAAACACATGCATAATGCACAAGATCATTGATATCAGTATAAACTATTTAACCATTACTCAAGAGTAGCACTGAATACCAGACCTGATTCTGAAAAAGAAAGAAAAAACTTCAATGGGCACATTTCTTGGACATCTAGTACCTGGTTTGGCCTTAGCTCTCCTTGGTTTTTGGCATGCTATTAACACAATAAAAGCCCACTATCAAAATGGAACTACAAAATTTAGATCCAAGTTTTGGTACCCTTTTAACAGTCCTCTTCCTACACTACAACACCTTGATCTCATTCTTGTTTTGTCTTTCTCTATCTTTTGCATAGTTATCCAATTCTTGGATTTACCTTCTCTGCACTTCTCATTCAAGCTTCATAATATTGAACATGCAACCATGTTCCTAAACTTGACCGTTTTCGCGGGTTTTACTCTTCTTGTTGAGTTAAGTAACTTGCCTGAGATCCTACATGGGATTTTAGGCATACTTGTTACATCTATTTTTGGTCAAGAACTTTTCTTACTTCATTATCATTCAACTGATCATGTAGGATTAGAAGGCCATTACCACTGGCTTTTGCAAATCGTCGTGTTTATTTCCCTTATGTCAGCTCTTGTTGTTACTTGCTTCCCTGCCTGTTTTCCTGCAGCACTTGTTCTTTCAATTTCGGTTATTTTCCAAGGTTGTTGGTTCATGAACATGGGATTTAATCTGTGGTTTCCACAGTTTGTTCCAAACGGTTGCGTTATGCAATCAAGTGAAGGTCATGAAAACTTAGTTCATGGCGTGGTTATGTGTCATACGAATGAAGCTGATTTACGGGCTAGAGCTATGGCGAACTTGCAGTTTAGTTGGGTAATTGCAGCTATCTTGATCCTTGTGGCTGGTATTTCTCTTGTTTTCGCGAGAAATCGAGCAGATAGGACTCTGTTGTCCAAGTATGAGCAGCTTCAGAGTAGAGGCAGAGACATCCCTGTAACAATTAATTGCTTGAAGTAAACTACTCAATAAATAAGAAATGTACATAGGCATCCAAAATGCCAATTTAAATAAGCTTCAATGGATGTGTCTGAGCATAAGTACGGCGATGTTTTCTTGCTTAGAGATGCACATCGCAATTTTTATGGTACTACTGTACTACTTAAGTGTATTGCAGTCACTAGACTGTCTAACCATAGTTGTCAGTTGACCTAAAGTTTACTTAGTTTGATGTTTTCTTCCCTCCCCCTAAATTGTATTACTCTTTTCTATTAGGTGTGCATCTTCTTTTGTGGGATTTTATTTTTGGTATAGCTCATCTTAGCACTGGCAGAAGAACAAAAGAAAGTTCAATAGCCAATCATTAGGAATAAATAAGTAGTTATATACACCAAGTTTCTGGCCATGGTACACAGGCTCTATGTGTGTATAACGGGGCAAGTGCACGAATAGCCATTCTTAGTGATGCTATTTCGATATTAACCAATACTTATTTTCTCCTGCTAAAATTTTAAACTAAAAACCTTAACTTCAGGATAATTCAGATATTTTTGTCCTGAAAAATTAAACTAAAAAACTAAAATTTAGGACACATCGACTAATTTCTAAATAGCAACCCTATAAAATGGCTACCTGGTGTCAGACAGGAGACAAAATACTAATTTTAACTTGTGAAAACTCAAAATTTCTTGAGGAAACCAAAGTTTATTAGTTTAATATACATATCCAAAACAAATCAAACTCTAAATTAATGGTGTTACCAATCTGTATTGCTGTAAATAAATTAAATAATAATCTTTCTGAAAAACAGAAACAGAAAGTTAGTAGAAATTTAATTTCGAAAAACAGTAAATTTCTTCAAAATAAATTCTGAAAACGTTGTAGAAACAAACCGAGCCCACTGAATACACAATGTGTCTTTAAGGAAATTATTCCCCTCAAGTACCCGAGGTTCTGGAATATATCCTCCCAGGATAGAACGATTTAACTCACCGGAGTGTTGGTACCAAAAACGCCGATGATCAGCGAACCACTCGATGGCAGCAAAACACACTGGAATTTTAGTGCAAAAGAAGAAGAAGAAGAAGATGATCAGAAAATTTCGTAAGTAAATATTCTGGGATTTGAAGGTATATTTATAGCCAACTTGGTGCTGTTTCTGAAGAGGTTTGCAACCTTTCAGAACAGCCATAGTTGTTGGAACAGGTGTGACACTGTTTCAAAACAGCCATGGCTGTTCAAAATATTGCGGGAAATATAAAACGGATTTAAAATAATCCGGGAAAGAAAAATGGGCCGGACCGGACCGGGTCGCGGGTCATGGGTTATTTCAGGTTGAATTTTCTTTAATTAATTAATTAAATATTTGAAAAGAATTTTGTCCAAAAAGATTAATCAATCAATCTTTGACAAATCCGAATCCGAAGCCGAAGCCGAAGCCGAGCGAGCGACGACGACAACGACGCGAGGCTTGCCTTCTTCTTAGCTCTTTAAGAGCTAAAAGATGAGCTTCTCTTTATATACACAAAGATTTTCTTTCCTTCTACCAATGAGGGACAAAGTGTGTCACACCTCCTTTTTTACACACCACCCCGACGGATAGTGTATAAGGGAGTTTTTCCAATTTAAGTGACATTATTCGAAATGAGATTATTTAATGATCAGGGTCGCCACTTGGGATAGGTTTGGCTTTTGGTGTCCCAAGTCACCGGTTTATCTTGGATCCCAAATCGAGGATATTTTCGACTTTCCAAGTGAAGTCTGCGAACCAGAGATTCTGACTAAGGAATTCTGTTGACCCGAGGGAAGGTGTTAGGCACCCCCGGATCCCGTGGTTCTAGCACGGTCGCTTAAACTATCATAATTGACCTAAAATCTGATTTTAAAACATGTTCATCCTGTAGTGCAATTTAAAATTATTTACCGCTTTTAATTAAATTTTTAAGGAAGATTGAACGTCGTTTAAAATGTGTTTTTGGATCGCGTCACATGAAATGCACCCGGATCCGAAACACATTTTATTCAACGTTTTGGGATTTGAATTTGGGTCACATGAAATGCGCACCCGAATTTAAGAAGGTAATATTATTAAATGACGAGCCTAAAGAAACTAGCGTGTTGATATCTTTGCGGGAGGCCATGAAAATTCGCTAAATGGCACGTCCCGATTTCTAAATATTGTAATAGATATAATTAAAGAGGGCCACACAATTTATGATTTTTTGTTTGGCGCAGCGCACCTCGATTTATTTTAAAAGGTCGTCCTAAAAATGAACTATTATTCTCAATTAAGGCTCATTTCCATTCTAAACTGGGCCCGACACGGGAAGGAGTCAATTATTTGTAATATAGGGCTAGGCCCAGCGCCTATAAACCAGCAGCCCAGTAGAAAAGATAACATTTAAAGAAAATGGCAGGTTTGGGCCTACAGGATCAAGCCCAAATTCGAACAAAGACTACTTCAATTATTGACGAAGTCCTTAATTCGAATCTGCTGCTTAGCTTAGAAGGCCCATACCTATCCCTTAGTTTTTAAAACCATTAACGAAAAAGAAATTTTAGTCTAGGATATTGAAGCTTTGGGCCTGACTCAGGCCCAGCAATAATGAATTGGTATTCCTAAGGAATGGCATTTAATAAGAAATAAGATCTGAGCCCGTCAGATTAGGCCCACGTTTCAGACAAAGCAATTGTCATTGTTGAAGCCTTGAGTTCGTATCCAATTACTGGATTTGGAACTCACCATTGGGCTTGTACTCGGCCCAACCGGACAGTTATGGCCTTGAGACACTAATTCCCATCTCCTGGCCATTTGATGTCCATATGAAACCAAATCATACATTGATTTAAATTGGGCCTCACAATACTGATCTCAAATCAAAGTTTCAACTTAACAATTTGTAAACAAATGAGTAGTTCAAACTCGTTCGAATAAGTGCATACTGACTTTAAATCCAAATTTCACATACATGTTCAACTCGTTGATATACTGATGAAATAGCATACTTATTCTAAAATTTCAACAACCATTCAGCTTCAATTAATACACTTTAAAAATTTATTCATGGACTAAGACCTAGAAATGAGCAACCAGAATAGCTAGCATGTTCAAACTGTAGGCGAATTCATAGGAGACATAAATGACTAACACTGTTTGTATACTATTTTTAATTGTGAATTATGAAGCAACAACATTATTCTAAACTTAAAATTTAAGGTAACCGGGTAGCAAGTCCAGAATTAACTATACTAAAGCTAATACTATTGAACATGATACTTATGCAATTCTGAAAATAGTCCAACAATCCTATTAATACAAATAACGCAATGTCCAAATATCACAACTATGCCAAACATCTAAACTAAGTAAAACAGTAGGCAATTCATAAGAAAAACAGGTAATAATTCATCATTTATCTTCAAATTTGGTCATACATGTTGACCCAATCTTCACATATCACTTGAGGCCAAAGGAATACCTGGAATTTGAATAGAAATAAGAAAATGGAGGGTCAGCTAGGCAGCAGCAGTATAACAGTGTTCAATTTCAGCAGGAAACCAACAATTCCAAATCAAAACCCAGGAAATAAGGACAGGATGCAGCAGACTTCCAAAAAATAAACTTCAGTCAACCAAAAACCTAGCTGAACTTAGGACTAAATTTGGATGATTCAAAATGACCTTCAACAGGTGAATTCCAACTAGTTTCAGAGCTTGGAAGTGAATTTCAGCTGCTGAAACTGGATGAAACAGTGTATCTTTGGATTTCTAGCTTCTACACTTTTTGAATTTTTCAAATTTCAGATCTCTCTCTAGGCTTCTAAAACTCTTTTAGATCTGAAAATTTCCTCTCCAAACTATTCAAAACTCTCAGGATTTCAAACTTTCAGATTTTTGAATTTTTAAACTTCTAAATTTTGAATTTCAAATTTTCAGCTTCTAGCCTTTTTCCAACCTCGTTTGCAAGGCAGTGGTACTTCCTTTTATAGGAAAAATTAGGGCAACTCCAGAATTTCTACTTTACACCCTAGCCCCCTCTTTATTTTTAGTTTTTTAGCTTAAAAGTCCCTAAAGGACTGACTTGTTACCCAAGCTATGCTACTTAATTTCTGAAATTCTAATTGGAACCCCGATCTAGAAGGTTCTAGGGGGTTCCATGTTCAGTTACTGCAAGATTCTCCTATTTTATTTTCTAAACTACCCTTCACAAATGTGAGAATTAACCCCCATGACCCTGTTATGGCCCTTGAAAGATCTCCAATGGGTCAACCTGTGAACCAGACCCTATTTAACTTATGGGCCTGAATAATGTAGCCTAATTCCAACAACTTTCAGGCCATCAGTCATCGAGCCCTAAGGCTCTGAACAGGGCTGTATGGGCCAAAGAAAACAGAAACAAGGAAGGCCAAGGACATTGAATCCAAAGTACTCAAATGATTGGAACGAAACAGAAATCGATTTTAATTAATCTAGCCTCAACTATGAACCAAGCAATCTGAGTAAAAACAACTGAACAAGACCTATTTCATCATTTGACCCAAATTATATCCAAAGAACTAATCCAAACGAGACTGAAAGGAAAAGAGATAACACAGAAGAAAATGAATACTTACTGGATCGATGGCTTGCAAGCAACAGGACTGGTGCGAAAGGCTTTGACTCCATGATGTGAACTGTAACACTGAGCACTAGCCTGGATTTCTCCAATGGCTTGTGCTCTTTGTCACAGTTCCCATTACGAGCCAAGAATGAAGGAGAAACGGAGATGAAGGCCCGTTGGAAATTTATGACCATACCTGGTCATTATACGCAAACGAACCTCTAACCCCCTGGCTTTCCATCGAAGTTGGTCTATGCGCACAACATAAAGAAGAACCAGATCGGAGCTTGAAAGAGAGAAGAAGGAGAATACTTCAGTGCTGCCTTCGATCTTTGATTTGAAGAGGAGGAGTGGTTTTGGAAAGAAAATAACAGTGTATTTGGAATGGGGACATGAGAGTGGTTATTTGGTCAAGTTTTCAGGCGATTTGGAGGTCAGTCGCCGCCGCATGGCGATTTTCGGTGGCGGTGGTGGTGGTGGTGGTGAGAGATAGGAGTGGAAGAGACGACATAAGATGGAGTACTAGGTTAATGTTATGACATTCAGACATTTTTAATTAAATGGGGGAAGTGATTGGAGCCCTTGGATGAGGGAAAACGGAGGGCCGAGATTAAATCACCACAAACTAACTTAAAACGACGTAGTATTTTTCCCATACTACGTCGTTTCATGAGTCTCAGAGG